TGGATGGGTGATGGATGGATGTGTGGGATGGATAGATGATGGGTGGGTGGGTGGGTGGATGGGTGATGGATGAGTGGGTGCATGGATGGATGTATGGATGGATGGATGATGGATGGATGGGTGGGTCCATGTATTAATGCTCGTTTGGACCTCAGAAAGGAAGACAGGCACACAAACCCTCTGCCACTCTGTTGGAATCACTTTGACTGTCTGAGGACAATCCATCCCCTTTGGAATTTTCCAATGACGCCTGAACTTGACTCTGGATAAGATACCCCTGAGGGTGCTGCATGAATAAGGCTTCAAACAGGAGGCAATATGCAGGTCACCTGGGGCAGGGGCCTAAGGGCTCCAGGCGGGAGGGGGGGCGGGGGGCCAGAATGTCTTCCGTGTCCTCATCACAGGTCCTCTGTCTTCCTGGGTGCTCGGACCCCTGTCCCTGCCAAGACCACAGGGCACGGTGGGGCCTAGCAAATCTGGCTCATCAGCCTGTGCTGTTGTTCATGACCCTCCCAGGAGGCTGTGGGGGCAGGAGGGACCCGGCCCCAGAGGCCACGGGATCAGTCTCCAGTGCACGCTCTCTCTGTGGCCACCGTGGTTTCTGTAGGAGCCCGTTTAGGCTCAGGTTCCCCATCTGTTAACTGGCGTTGGCTTGGATACTGGGTTGGGGTTCTTCCCACTCTAGCACCAGCCCCAGGATTAAGTCGGAGCCCCATGGAGTGGCCATCAAGGCTGGTAACCCACCCACCAGCTGGTACCGGGACTCAAGTGAACCACAAGGAGGAGCCTTCTGGGTGCCCCACCCCTTTGGTGCCCACCTCACACCCCCCAAAATCCACTCAACAGATTTTTCATGAGCACCTACCACGGGCTTTCTCTGCTGCTCACCTGGACTGCCCCTGGCTTCCCTGGACCCGCCTCTGGTCGCCCCTGAACCTGACCCCCTGGGAGCCGTCTCCAAAGATAAACCCAGCTGTCCTGCCCCAGCTCAAAGCCCAGCAGGGCTGCATGTCCCCAGGCTGGCCTGCCTGGCCCATATCCCCTCGAACCCGTTCCTCACTATTAGGGTTTTGGCCAGCGATGCAGGCTGTGAAAGAATTCACGACTAAAAGAAGAGATGGATGCAGAGAGGAAGTGTATTTTTGCTTCCCCTGAAGGGAAAGGGCTGGTGCATTGCTAAACAGTACAAGGGCAAAGAACAAAAGCTGTTCCCCCTTTTAAAGCCTTGGCTGCTGTTGCTAGGTGACAAGGCAAGGAGGGAGATTTGGGGACAAATGGAGTTGAGCAGACATCAGGGGGGTTGTCTGAAAACTTTGTTTGCTTTTTTTAGGCAGATGTCCTAGGGAGCTGTCTTTCTCAGCATCTTCCAAAGCCTGTAAGGCATTCTTAGAGCGAAAGTTATGAAGAGCTCAGAAGAGGCTTGTTTGAAGGGGGAGAGGGAAAGGGAGCTTTCCACTCATTATCCCTGAGTTGTCACCCAGCAAGGAGGAGGGGGATGCAAGAATGTAGCCTTGGGAGTAACTTGTCTTGCAGTTTGGACGGAGGGGCTGTTTGAATCAGGGAGCTAACAATCTTGGAGTTTAATTACCAGGTGCTTCTCATACGTTGTAGAGGCCGCAGCAAAGAGAAAGAAAGGCCTTTTATCCTTGTTCTCACACGCACACCCACCGCCACTCTACGCTTCTGATTCTGCAACCACACTCGTCACCCGGGGGTCCCCTGAAACCGGGCGCTGCCTGCACCTGGGTCAGCTGGGTCAGGCTGCTTTTTGGGGGCAAGGCTAACCCTTTAACCACAGAGTAGGCCAGGACCCAAGCAGAGCAGTTACAGCAGGCCCCCACCATCAGACGGACACAGACAGGACACAGACGGACGTTCAGGTCGGAGGTTAGACCAGGCACAGGGCCCTCTCGGGGACTTGTCTGGCTCAGACCATGGTAACCGGGGAGCTGGCTGGGCCTAGACCAACCCTGCTCCTTCCTTCTGGACCAGGCAACCTGGGCTCCCAGCTGGTGGAATACAAGGAGGAAATGTACATCACGTCAGACTGCGGGAGGACCTGGCGGCAGGTAAGGAGGCAGGAGGGGCCGCGCCCACCCCGTGCTCATGCTGTGACCCCTCCCTCCCAGTGGGCGGCTGGACACACAGCTCCCGTTAGCAGATGTTACATCCCCGCTGGCCCAGCCCACCAGCTGTTCCACGGCCATTGCTGGACCTGGCTCAACTCCACACGGTCACACACGGTACCGTGAACGTGGAAGCAAAGGAAATAAATACCAGGAAGAGGGAAGGGGGATGGGGTGGAGGTGCCGGCCTGTCCCCGCAGGAAGCCACCTGGGGACTCCAAGGCATCGGCTGAATGCGACCCGGAGCCAAGAAGTGGGGGCAGGGACAACCCCGGGGTCCCGGCAGGGAGGCTGCTGGGTGGAGTCATGGAGGAGAATGAAGGAATGGGAAGAGGAGGTTGGGGGGCCGCAGTGAGGCTGGGGGGCTGTGGT